TTTCCAGGAATGCAAGGAGAGCTGAATTTTAAAACCAAAGAGGTTCAGAAAGCGAATGGAATTGAGGGTAAGTTTGTCAGCGTGGGTGTGAGTGCAGCAAAACGTGGCAAAAAAAAATCATTTACAAATGAAACTTTAAGAGCTGTAAATCATCTCCGAAGAAAAAAAAATGTCTAAAATTAGGCTATCCTCAAAAATCTTCGATTCCTTCAAAAAAAAAATTTGTATTTCCAATTTCAATCTAATTTCCAAAAAGGTTATCCTCAAAAACCTTTGATTTCTTCCAAAAAAAATTTTTTATTTCCAATTCCAATCTAATTTCCAAAAAGGTTATCCTCAAAAACCTTTGATTGCTTCCAAAAAACATTTTTTATTTCCAATTCGAATCTAATTTCCAAAAAGGTTATCCTCAAATACCTTCGATTCCTTTCAAAAAAATTTGTATTTCCAATTCCAATCTAATTTCCAAAAAGGTTATCCTCAAAAACCTTTGATTTCTTCCAAATAAAATTTGTATTTCTAATTCCAATCTAATTTCGAAAAAGGTTATCCTCAAAAACCTTTGATTCCTTCCAAAAAAAAATTTGTATTTCCAATTCCAATCTAATTTCCAAAAAGGTGATCCTCAAAAACCTTTGATTCCTTCCAAAAAAAATTTGTATTTCCAATTCCAATTTAATTTCCAAAAAGGTTATCCTTTGATTCCTTCAAAAAAAAATTTTTATTTCCAATTCGAATCTAATTTCCAAAGATCTCTGTAAAGAAAAAATCGGATAAGTATTTTTTTTAAAATTATTTCGATTGTTTTATGATAATTAGTCTAGAATTCTTCGTCAAGCAAAAAAAAAATACGATAAAATCTTAATGATCTGTCTCGAATGTTGCACTAAGAAGAAAAGACGTTACAAGTGCTAAAGAGTCATATGATTGATAACTTAATGACAGAGAGTTGAAGATAGCCTGTCGAAGTATATCAATGCACATTTCATTTAATATATATATAAATAGTAGCGAGCAAAACGATAATAATTGTGATTTATAACAACTCAAGGATAACAATAATCACGATGAGATTGCATTATAATCGTAGTCATGCTTCATGATCCAAATGCAAGTTCAACTGTAATTATAATCCAATAAGAATGAGCTTATTATTAAATTAGGAATTAAATAACGAAAAAAATTCATATTTTAGAAAATTCAAAAAAAAAATTTGAAATATTAATTTTGATTAAGGAAAAAATGAAATATTAATTCAAAATGAAATTTTTTTTAGAAGATTCAACAAAAAAAGATCACAATCAAAATTTGAAATATTAATTTTAATTATACGTCTGAGTTTAAAAAAAAATTTAACTTTCACATTTCGTTGTTTAATTTTAGTGTGGAGCCATTTAGATGTAGATTTCAGTTCAATATCTAAAAAGCAATAAATAGATTTACACTCATTGCTGTACAAAATATTTTCCTCAAACGAAAATTGGAAGTTATAAACCTTTCAAACTAATGAAAGAAAAAAAGCAAACTGATGGAAGAAGGAAATAAACTATATTGCCATAATCCATTTTGCTAATGGTGGGACAAAATAAACTAGTGTCCCTCTTAAATCATGATTCTCTCTCTTTCTCGAAACCATTATAATCTCATCAACTCTATGCATTAAAAGTGAAAAATCTTTTTTTTATTTTTTTTTTTTCTCTTTCAAGAAACTCGAGTGGCTCGTGCCATTCTAAATTCTATATATTATTGTTTGGACAGCGACCAAAAGTGTTTGGTTTAAAAAATCCCAATCCTTGCCAATGTTTGCTAGAAAAATCCTCAAGTTGTATATTAGTAAACTACATTTTTGAATACAAAAAAAAAAAAAAAAAAAATATTGCTGGCCATGTGCCAAAAAAAAAAAAACCGGAAATATATCTCTCGCGCGATCTTATAGCAAGCGCCCCAATCAAAAGTTTAATTCCTGGAGATTGTGAATGGCCGGTAATTTAGTCTCAAAGAATCAAGTGGGGGGGAAATGGGAAGCAATTTTAAGCCTAAGGCTCACCGGGAGTGCAGTGAAAATTCTCGCGAGCGAGCCACCACCGTAGTATATAGAAAAGAAGAAGAAGAAAAGAAGAAGAAGAAGAATAAGAAGATGATGAAGAAGAAGGTGGTGGAGTGAGTTTCACAACGGGCCTCTTGGTAATATCTCGTTTAGAAAGATTACAGGTTTGAAGAGACTGCCAATGTATAAAACAAACATCGTTAACTCAGCCCTATACTTAACAACTCCCTCCACACCCCGTGGTCTTGATCCTACCACCTATATACTTGGATAACAACCACCCCCCCCCCTCTCCCCCCATCAAGGAACTCCTATATATAGTGTGGAACCCACACGATGAGATCGACGAGTGTGTTCGTCAATTGAGAAAAAGGAGAAAGAGAGAAAGATACCTCTTACGTAGGCGCGAGACCAGACACGGTATTGAGACGTAGACCACACGACGTTACTTTGGCTCCAGCACGGACGGCCAATGTGCGTAATTTCGACCTGTGTAATTATCGACCACTGTTGTTAGGTTTGATACCTGCTCTCTCGCATATAGCGAATCATATAAGTACTCACTCAGTACACGCCTACGCTTTTACAAATTTTTTTTTTTTTTTTTTTTTTGAAAAATATTTATACTCATGTAGATTGATTTAGAGCGAAAAAAATAACTAACTGGTGCATCATTCTTATACTGTGATATTCATCACTTTAATTAAATATACTTTCAGCTCTCTTATCGTCCTTGTTCTTACAAACATTTATCACTCATTTCTTTTCATCTCGATCGTTTTTTTTTTCATTCTGCAGGCTTCTCGAAAATCTTTGCCCCTAAAATTTAAAATGTCAGAATTTTTAAAACGAATATTCAAAATGTTATTTTTAATTAAAACCATTTTTTTTTATTTTATCAAAATAGTCATTGAATAATTTTTTCCCAAAAAAATTTTTTGATTAATAAACATTGAATTTTTAGGTGATTAATTTAAAAATAAAAAAGAATTTTTAAAAATTAATTTATATTTTATAAACTATGTTTAAAAATGATTCCTCAAACGAATGTATGTAAAGAATCAAGAAGCCTCTTCTCTTTTTCAATTATACACATATATATAGATTTACGAGCAACTTATAACTCTTTCGCATGGGAAATATTTTTTCTCCTGATATTATTTGTCCTATAAGCGAGTTTATCATTATGGTTAAAAATAAAATTTCTATTAATATTAAAAGCCTATATGCTCATGAAAATATCCTGTTATAGTTTTCACAAGTCTCTAAAGCTATTTAAACATTGTTATTCTGCGCCTATAAACTAAAACCCTTAAATGATTAATGCAATAACAACTAATATAAAATTGATAAAGTAAACTTTTACATAAATTACTGTTTTTTTTTTTATTAATATTAAATTAAAAATTTAGAATGTGAATAAAAAATGCTTTGCTTAAAAAAAGTTATTAAACAATTACATAAGACATTATTAAATTTAGTATTTTACTTCATTTTTCTCAGTATGCAAAAAATAAATTATTATTAAAAATTCTAATAGTAAAAACCAAATTAAAAAAATTCACAAAAATATAATAAAAACTATTTTATTTATTAGCATTAATAATAGCATATTAATTTATTTATAGCAAAAAATTAATTATTAAAATTTCTAATAAAAACCAAATTAAAAAAAAATAAAGGGATTCACAAAATTATAATAAATTAATAAAAAGTAAATAAATAAAGGCGAATAAAAGAGAATAAAAAATCCTATAACGAATGAGAAAAAAACAACAAATTGAGAAAAAATGGATAGAAAAATACTTGGTCGATGAGGAAGCAATAGAAGAGTCTAGTAAATTTTTTTTTTCTAGTTTTTTGCCTAGTCGATGACAGTATCGAGGATGATGACGGTGGAGGAACTGATCAGGGGTTGCGTTGAATTGGTGACGCCAGAGGGGGTGAAAAACGTAAGGGGGTAGCGAACTTTCAATTGCTCAGCGATGAGGGAGCAAGCCTCATCGAGATATCTTTGTACGTGCTTTTACACCACAAAGACGAACTTCCCTGTCGTTGAGGATAGTAGAACGAATATATACATACATACATACAAACAAATATATATACACACGTTCGTACCTTCTTTCAAAATTTTTGCGAACGTGTAAAAAAACAATAATTTCTAAATTTTCATTTTTTTTTTTTCTCTATTTTTTTTGCACACGAACTTATGACGAATTAAGAAATTAAAAAAAGAAAACAGAAACGAAGGAATTTTTTTTAAACCTATATATAATGGACATAATTTGTGGAGTTAAAGTGAGTGCCGTATATAAATGGTACTGTATTTCAGTATATAATTGAAGTGAAAAAAAAAAACCTCTCACTCTTTAAAAAATACCAGTGGTACAAGTATTCATCGACGTAAAACGGGGGATAAACGCGCTTCCAATATATGCGAGAGAGAACGTTTATCGACCGCTTTTCAAAGTTTGCACGATACTCGTATGTTCTTGTTTGCGTGTGTTGACTATCTGACAACTAATGTTAAGCACGTGCGATGAAACTTTGAATGTGAAACTTCCAGGTTACCAGAACTTGAAAAAAGAAAACGAGAGACACTTTTGAATTTTCCCGTCAAACTATATATATAAATTATCGTCCCTTCTTTAATTAACGATAAAATAAATTTTTCCCAATAAAAAAATTTTTACATATTTTTATTAAAAATATATTTTTATTTATTTTGTTTAAAAAAAATTTGACCCTTTTGTAAATAAAATTAATTTATTCAATAGTGCTCTCGTTTTATTTATTCTGACTTTATTGTTGATTTGTTCATCAAAAAGAATTTTTCAAGAACATCGGAGGAAAATTTTAACCCAATATTCAAATTAAAAAATCATAGATTTTTTAGTGGATTAAAATTTTGCCAATTTGCGTTCACAAAAAAAATGATTTGAATTCTTACCGGCCACTTTTCGTGATGACCATTTCGGTTCCAAGTTTATGGAATTTTTCCCACAATTCTTTTCCTTCGAGAGTGACCTTTGGGTCATCGACAACACCATCCTCCTCAGGATGAGGTGGAATAAGAGGATGATGAGGTCCAGCCAATGGATGATGTGGGGCAAGTGGATGAGGTGCCGAATGTAACATGCCAGGAGGCAGTGGATGCCTCAATGGCCTCATCGTTGGACCTCCGGATGCTCCTTGATGATGATGATGTAAAGCGGCAGCAGCAGCGGCTAATACTGCCGCGTGTGCTTCTTCAGAACTTTGTGGTCCCAATCCAAGACCTAAAAATCGCATAATTTTATTAGTAATAATGAAAAATAAAAATCTCTTGATTAAGAAATAATATAGAGATATATGTGAACAGATTTGCTTTTATAATTAAAGTTATATTCATGAGGGACGTTAATATATCAGCTACAGGAAATAAAAACCAGTAATGTGTAGTGAATAACAAGAAATTAACTGCACGTTACTGGATAATTACGGAACGGTCGATCTTTTATATATTATATCAGAACTTTGTAAGAAAGAATAATTTTTTGAATTTTTTTTCAAAGTAAAATCAAGAAAATATTAAAAAGTCTATTTTAATTCAAAAAAAGAAAAAGAAAATGATCCTTTTCGTTATAATATTGATAACGTCACATAAGATTTATTAATAGAATATGTCTTAAGTGGCTATTTAAAAACTAGGATTGACGTATTTGTATAGGTCAATATAGAATAATCTATAGTATATGGCAATTGTCTTTGACGTAAATTACATTGCGGACGTTCCCTTCAACGAGAATTCAAATATGATCGTAAAAATACAAAATACCTCGTTTTTACCGCTTTGCTCCATTTTTATTATACCAAACAACCCCGAGTTCTCGTCAAGGTGTTCAGTATAATGAAAACAAAATGGAGGCTCGAAAAAACCAGCTTTCGACATGTTCAAATCACGGATCCTAAAACTGTTTTTACGGCTCGAAAACAACATTCACTTATATTGCTTATAGCTCCCAGTAGCACACGAGAGAATATAATATACATATATATAAAAATTTCGCTTGGAAAAAAAAACCGCACACACCACTCCTTTCTTTCACTTAGAAAAAATCAGTTATACTTAATTTAAAACAATTTCATTTCCTTTTTTTTTCTATTGAAAAACATCTTTTCTACAGAGGCATTAAAAAAACCCAGTCATTGAGAATTTAAAAGAAAAAATGAATGTACAAAATTATGCGTAAAAAAAAAATACAATTTTATGCTTCCGAGATGAATTCAGAATATCTAAATAGGTGGAAAATACTTTGTTTGGAAATTTGGAAAAGCTTTTTTTTTCTCTTAACGCCAAACAAATTTTCCTCTTTCTCCATCTCGAGAGGGCGAGGAGATTATATAGGATTAATAATATCACTTGTTAAAATCTTATTTGTTTGTATACTTTTCAATCGGATTAAGATTATCTTGAGGGTGCGTAATCCACTATTCAATAATTAGTCATTACTAAAGGAAAAAATGTGATTTATGGTGGGATTTTAATTTTAAGCCCTTCGTCTATGTAGATCAAGAACCCAGATTCCAATGGTGAAAAACTATAATTAGTCGCACATATTTAAAAGTGATTTTAGAAAAATTTTCTCAAGAGTCGAATTTTTCGTTATATGGAAAGAATACCGATTTCTATCTTTATTGTGAATATTCAATTCAATATTTGGACAAAATTTACCCAACTGCATAATATTTTCATTTACTTTTAAGATTATATTATCAAAGTGACTCTCAGGTATAGTTTAAAAAAATTATTTTTGTACTATTTATTATTTCTCCTCTAATTTGTTTTTAATATAATTATTTTTGAAATATTAAAAAAAAATTAGAATTTCGATTTTACGATTCAAGTTTTCATTTATGAAATAAAGAGGCAAAATTCTCTCATGCAAGAAGTGAAATTGATCAAAAAAAAAAAAATATTCGTGGTTTGTAAAACAGCTTTCGTGACGTTGAAATTGAAGAATATATAAATAAGTGAAGATATACTTAAAAATGGCGTGAAAACAAATCGAGAACATATATATCGAAAAGGAAAATATTTATAAGGGCACGAGAGTGGTGCAAAAGATAATTTTGTAGGAGGTATATTATAGGGTTTTGCGAGCGCGCAGTGTAAAGATCACTGTGAAACGGAGGCAATCGTCTTGCGGACAGCCGATGTTTGTCCTGACCACAAAACGCTATGAAAAATCACGTTGCACGATGCGGTTACCAGTTTTTGCCACTGACTGCCAATCGTGGCACTTTCTTCGATCCTAAAGAGATGTCTTTGCCAGTTAGTATTGACACTTCTCAATTCGTCACTTTAAAAAATTCTCGCATCACAATGTATATCGTTTGACAAGTCACTATAATAAAAGAAAAAATAATTAATAGTATAAAATATATTCAAATTTTAGCAAAATGCTTATAAATTAAATTCAATTTTTGAGAAAAAAAATAAGAATATAGAAAATCAAAGTAATGAAGATTTTGACTAGAAGAATTCAATTACTATGAATATAAAGTTCAGATTGCGTCAGACAATCAATCGGAAAGTCAAACAGGTGCTTGTCGTCGCGTACAACAAATAAACCCATAAAAAATAAATCAATCAGGTATTCGTAAAAATGAAATCACACCCAAGAAGATAAAATATTGCAAAAAAATATATATGAAAAAAACTTAGGCTCAAGGCTATATATATATATGTGTGCTCCTATAGACAACGTTAATTGCCATTATCATTTAGCACTTATCTTTGAACGAGTGTCTCGTAACATTAGCGAGTGAGACGAAGCAACTAACCGTGACGATCTCACACGTTCATTTATAATTACGATGGAAACGGCTTATTAAACCGAACACGAGTATCTTTCATCGAGCATGACTGTTTTCTGATTTGCCATAATTTGCCTTTTGCTATAAGTGTAGTGCAGAAGCTTTTACAACATAAACGAATATATATATGTCACTTTTGCGTTAGCTACAAGATTACATGCTAAAGTTTATTCTCAAAGTCAAATCACCGGCATCTCAAAGTTTTACAGTTCTTCTTAATTAAAATCTGATCATTTCATTTCCATTGCGTTTTATTAATTTTTTTTCTGTTTTTTTTTTTTTAATCATGACTTCTTGCAAATTGACTATTACTGCCAATGCAAATTAATGCAACTTATCAGCTTACAATCATTTTACGATTGCACTACTTTATATCACTAATAATTCGCCATATTTTTCATTCTCAAAAAAAAAAGAATTCAATTTACAAAAAAAATTAATTATCATTAATTAAAATAAAATTTTAAATTGAATATTTACGATATGAAAAACTATACATTTTTAAAGAAATGTTTGTTTGCCAATTGAATGTTAGTACGAAAACCCATTTCAATATTGAAATTTATAGCCAAAGATATGGGCCGACGTTTCTGAATTTATAATACAAAAAAATAAGGCATTGTTTCTCAAGTGACTTTTGAGGTTTCATTTTTTTTTCCAATACAATATTTGAATGAGCCTGATTCATGCACGCAATCTCTTTTTCTCAGATTTATTTTTCTACAAATATAGTCATTTTAAACGGAGAAAAAGAAATAAAAATATTCTATTAATGGACAATTTTTTTTTTCAAATTGCGACCATAAAACATAAGAGTCTAACTAAGCGATTTGGAACTAAAAAATAAAATAAATATATACGAAGAAAAACAAGAATATTATCATGCGCCTAAGTGATTATTTCTTTTACTTTTATTTCCTTAGTCGCGAAGAAAACATTACATTCACGGAAACGTCCGCGCAGCAAATATATATTTCACTTGGGAACACACTATGTATATATACAATAATATATACTTCAGGTGTAATTCGAATGCGAATTACGCAGTGCCATATTCGTCTGCATTTCTTGCCTTTTGTTTAATACACTACTTTGAGACCGCGGAAATTACATATTCAAAGTTAATTTCAAATTCTAAAAACGTTCGACATGCCCTTGGGAGAGATTAACCATCATATATTGCTACCTGAATTCGTTGCTTTGCAAAATATGTCTCTTTACTATAGACTATAAAAGATTTACCGAAAAAATAATAATAATTCAAAGCGCGTCTTGCTAAATTGACGAACGATTCACCAAAATAATAAACTACTGCACATATAAAATTTTTCCTCTCAAAATGAAAAATATATTCCAAGGGAAAAATAATTTTTTTTTTTTTCACAAAAATTCTCAAAACAGCCAAACAGAAAGTATTTTTTCTCTGATTTAGAAAAATAATATAAATTTTCCTATTATTTTTTGTGATGAAATATATATAGTAGAAAAATAGCGTGGGAATTTCGATTCTTTCTTTGATCCATAAAATTATATTCATTTTTTGGCTTCAATATATAATATGCCCGCGGATCATTCGAAAAGGATTCTATTTTATATAACAAATCTTAATTTAAATTCGTGTTCTATCGGCGCGTCGTCTCTTCCTTCTCTCGCCTGTCAGCGGGAAGCAAACGAAACTGGCTATAAATTTCTTCAAAGAAAATCAAGAAGGCGCTATGCATAAATTTACGTTCGCATATCACATACAGTATTTGCTTTTTGCTATATGGACAAAGCTACTACTATATGCCATATAGATATGTATTCACATATATATATATATACTTGACGTTCCACATAGAATTTTAAGTCCAGTTCAATTTTGAATGACCTTTCGCGAATTACCTCGTGGACCAGTATTCTTTTAAAATCTCAAAACGTGGACGTTAACATAATTCGCGTAAAACAATTCACGTTCCAAACATCATCACGTACATGCCATTTTAAACATGATTACGATTCTCGAAAGAATTTTGAAAACATAAAATCGGATGATCCAATGTGATGAATAAATCCTAAAAAAAAAATTAATCAGATTTAATTGAACACTCAGAAGAAATTAACTAAATATAATTTATCTTTGAATTAAATAAATATTTATTTGATAATAATCAAGTAATCGATTATTTAAATCAAATAAATTTATAAAAAAAAAAATGTATAGAGATTTTCCCAAAGTTGTATATATTTTTTTTTTTTTAAAGAAAAAATCAGACTAAAATAAAATTTAGTTACTTCACAGTTTCGAATTCGGTGAAAGTAATTTAATTTTTTTCCTTTTTGAATTATATTAAAAGTTACATTTTTTTTAACATTTTAAAATTTATAATAAATTCACATGAGATTTGTTTTGATTGGAAAAAAAAGAGAAAAAAAGGGTCACAAGCTGTCTCACATCCGACGGAAAGATTTTTTTTCTGCGCGTTACGCACCATCCACATATATGTAAACAAATTTTAAATTTTTTTAATGGTTTCATTTACTATTAAAAATAAAAACATTTATAGAAAATACTTCAGAGATCTTATAAAATTCAAAATAAAATATTTTCAAGTTTAAAATTAAGAAAAACATAATATTACTATCCGAAATGTTTTATTTTTCACTTGCGAACTTTTTAATTTATTTTTCTTTAACTCTAATAATTACAATTTTTACTATTTTACTTTTTTCATTTATAAATTCTAATTTTTAACATTTCTTTATTTTCTCTTCAATTTACAAAAAAATTTTAATTTAATTCTTCAGTTTATTTATTTCTTTCTCTTCATTTTTATTGATTTTTAATTTAATTAATTATATTTTCCCCCACAGAAAATTATATTTATTGTTTAAATACATATAATTTGATAAAATTCAGATGTAAAATTAAGATCTGCTGTCAAAATACTTATATAATATATGACACGACACGCAGCTTGAGTTATAAATTACAGATATTTTCTAAAGATAATTTTCAACTTTGTTAATCAATTAATTCAATTAAACTATCTAAAGAGTGATATAATACTTAGTTTATAATATATGATAACATGAATTGTGCCAAACATTACAATTATCACAGAAATGTTTTTATTTATTTTTTTCTTTTTTATTTGAACAAGTCTTGTGTGTCAACTTTAAATATGTGTGCGTTTTTAATTCATCTATAGAATATTTACATAAGCGTGTATTTAATCACTTCATTAATATAAACTAAATAATAAAATTAATATTTTAAAATTGTTTTTCCTAAAAAGAAAAATAAATTTATTTTATATTTTAATTGCAAAAAAAAAAAAAAATTCAACCTTCATATAGAAATAATAATAGTAATTTTTGTCTTTGGCATAATTTTAACTGAAGAGAAAATAAAAAAGAAATGTAAATTCTATGACATGAACTTGTAAAATTACAGACTACACACTGACTACTGAATTTGATAAGAAAGTTACACCGTCAGTATATAAGGTCACTTGTCATAAAATTATATTATAAATTTTTGAAAAATGCATTCTCACGCATATTCTAAAGGTTTTTAAGTTAAATATATCATAAATAGAACGAATGACGTTCCAATATGTGTCGTTTGGCTTTATCTACAACGAGTTTTTAGCACGAAAAAAAATATTGCAAGGCCGCAAAACAAATGAATTCACACGTATCACAAACATATATTTATGTGTGATAACTAAACATTTATTTGTATATATTAAATTTCATCTAATAATTATATTTATCGGAGAAAATTATTTTTCATTTCTCTGAGAAGTAGTAAAAAAACTGTATTTTTTCTTTATTTAATCAATCGACTTTTATTATTTGCTTTTTAAAATTTTGTTTTTATTTTTCAATTTCATTATTTAGTTCTTAAAATAATTATTTATATAAAATTAAAATTTTTTTTTTTAATAATCAATTTTACTTATATATTACAATTTTAAATTTTCATTTTGATAATATTGCATCATAGATATTGTTTTTATAAAATAGAAACGTGAATAATATTATTTGCAATGATCAATATATCTATTCTAAAGACAGTAATGTTTATTGCACAAATTTCTTTATGTTCCTCATATATATATATATAGGAGGATGAATATTGTAACATATACAATAAATCTAGTCATATGTCAGTAGTCAGGAATATAATCATTAAAATAACATTATTCTTTTGTATAATGATAATTTCAATAATTGATGAAATAGAATCAATTTCAAAAGTACTTTAGTTTTTATCATTTAGAAAAATTAAAAAAATATATTTTTTTTAAACAAACACTATTTATTATTAAAGAAAAATTTAATTTCATTTATGATAATTATTTTACAATCATAACTTACTTATTACGATACTGAAGTATGTATACGCAATGTTTTATGGTTAACGATTAGAAATCAATTTTTATTTAACACGAAAAATTATAAAAATTGTTTACTAAAAAAATATTTTTTTAGAATTTGTTAATAAAAACAATATTTTTTTGGCAAAAAAAATTATAGAATTTTTCACTTTTAAAAATAGTTTATCATAAACGTTGCTAGTTCTCGTTTATTATTTCTATTTAGTTTTCTATTTTACTTTTATTTCTATTTTATTTATTATTATTTAATTTATTGAGTATTAAAATATTAAATTTAAAAATTTTGCAAAATAATCTATTATTTTTCTCTGAAAATATTTTCTATAAATAATTTTTTAGTAATAATAATAATTTATTTCATTGTATATCCAAATACAGGGTTTTTACAAACTTCTCTCCTTCGTTAAATAATTTTTAATATAAGTGTCTTTCAATTTAATTTTTTAAGATTCAGAAATTTTTGTTTTTTTAATCTTGGCAAAATAATCGAAAATTTTATGAAAAACTATATAATTTGGAGTAACAGCGTAAAGAAACTATGCGAATATTTGAAGTGACTTCACCAAAAAAAAATGATTTATTTGAACCAAATAAAATATATTTGAGTTAAATAAACGTATATTTGTCTCAGCACTGCAAATACAGACTTTTTATTTGTTTTAAATAATAATTTTATTCAACATAAATAAAAATATATATTTGAGTCAAATAAAATTTTATTTAAACCAAATAAAATTTATTTCAATCAAATAAAATTTATTTGAAACAAATAAAAAGTCTAGTTGCGGTGCTGAGACAAATATATCTTTTCTCTGAGTGCGTTTCAAAACAAAACTCTATACAATTTTTTTGGTAAAGAAAATTTTATTTGTAAATAAACTTCTGAGATTTTCCTTTTAGAACTGGGAACCTTTAGAAAAAGGATTTTAGAAAAAAAAGCCTTGGAGGATGTTGAATGATTTTCAAATAATCATCTAATAATTTTCTACAAATTCCTATATATAATTGCGTATGGAAATTTTTTTTGGAAGAATACGATCTCTAAATTGTTCGAGGTTCATCTCATCGAAAAGTGACTTCCTATATTCATCTGATGCCTAAAGAGACCTAATCAAATATATTTCCGGTTTCTCATCGCTATAATGACAATATATACACAATATTCCGGGCACTCGCAATCACGATTCTTTTTTTCCCTCGGAAAACTATTAATTGCTAATGAGGCAAAGAAATTTACCTGGATGTGCAAGTGCTTGTGGATTAAATTGTGGATGATGATGAGATCCTGCGAGGATTGCTTTACTCTGTAGATGATGAGCACTTGGCGAACTCACTGGTGGTAGATGTGCAGTATGATTATAAAAGCCGGCGGCTGCTAATGCACCAAAATAACTAGCGGCAGCAACCGCTGATGAATTATGTGAAATTTCACGTTGCAATGATAAAGGTGGTGGTGTTTCGGGTGCCGCTGCTGGACTCCCAGGACCACCAGGTGGTGGCGAGATACTTCCTTGCGATGATGAGCCACCAAGCAATGGTGGATGTGTATTTGCCGCTGTCAATAAAGTCGAAACACTAAAGTCTGTTGGTCTTGGTGCCGCCGGTGCTGGTAAATGACCACTAGTCACAGTGAGATGTCCGTTTGGATTACCTTGAACGGTATTAGCTATCGAGGTAGCTGAGGAGGAGGAAAAGGGCGAGTGCCGATTTAAAGCTGTCGCTGGTGCGGGGTACGCCATTCCAGGCCCCCCCGCCTCCCCCCTGAGCACCGTCTTGGCACCCTCAACCACGTTAGTCTCAACAGTTGTTTCTCTTTGAATTCTAAATGTCTCAATTCCTTTCGTCTCCTCCAAATGAGACCCAAGACGATGGTGTTGATGATGCAGTGCAGGTAGCGGAGTGCTGGCGCAGTGGGTACCCCTGCACGCCGTGTCTAGTTCGAATCTCATCGAGATGGTCGATATGGTCTGAGTCGCGCGAGATTCCTCTACGAGTGACTCAAAGAAAGCACACTATCACCCACACAAAAAAAAAATTCACTTTAGTTTTTAAAAAATTCAAAGTTGGTGAAACCAAGCACCAACCTCCGACGGAGTCACATTCTCTCCAAACAATATTTAGCCATCAACACTGATCCACATCTTTTGTCATTATTCACTCGCATTCTTTTTTTCTTTAGATCATCCCATCATCCGCATTAGAGGCACACACGAAATCACTGAGTCCTATAAAAGACTCTACACAACAACACTGATTTCAGTTATTTTTGAAAAAACACTACAGACACTGAGATTATTCCATATATAGTCACAAAATGATAAAAAATTGTCGCGATCCGACGGCCGGCGTTTAACAGTTACTCGCGGGTATTCAACGTTTTTCGCGGGATCGTGAAAGGTGAAGGTGTTACTTGGGTGGCGCCGCGATGGTCACTGAGCAGCGCTAGGATTGACACCTCCTCTCGGGTCTCACCCCCACACCCTCCCGCGAAGGTGTCGGTGTGCTAAAGTCCCGGGGAACTGTGTGTTACCGCCGCGTGTGCGTAAAGAGAAGGCGCAAGCACGATGGAACGAACGCGGGAGGCGTGAATGCTGGAGGGCAGCAACGCGAAGACTGAAGCTGTCGGGGCTCCTCCTCCCTTCCCCTTTAGGATCACCATGTGATCAAAGAGTGGGGATCAACGCGACTCTTTGTCACAATAGTGGGGGTTACCTCTCGCTCCAGTCTCAGTTGGGGCGATAATGAGCGCTCACAACGCGGATTGGTGTTCCGGCGCCAATCCGGGTGGCGTTGTACGTGACGCCTTTTCCGACGCTCCCCTCCAACCCCTCATCAACAACACCCCCGCCATCCTTTGGGAGAGCTAAACCTCTTCCTTTCGTCACCAAGATATTCCCCTCTCGACCTTCAAGGGTGTTAACCAACCGCCCATTAACACCACCCTCATATCGATAATGATCATGGTGATAAAAAATCAATAAATGATTTTTTCCAAAAATTTATTTAGAAAATTTTTTTTGGAAAAAAATTTCACGTGTTTTTGGTGTTTTGACTTTTCGTGTTGAACTTGACGCAAAAGTAGGAGAGATGCTTTGCGCTTTAACGCTGTTGGGTTTTGAAACCCTGGCTATAGAAAAACGAGGAACGAAGGGGAAGTGAGATTGAAAACCCCGCCCGTGTGTAACCCCCACCATAAATTGTGAGTTCCCCCACGTAATGGCTTATAGACACCCCTCGGCCCTCCCTTCGACCCACAGCCCACCTACTATCGTACTATCCCATTCCCTACTGTCGTCACCGCGGTATCGTCATCGTTGTCGTCCTCACTGCCGTCGTCGTCGTCGTCGTTGTCGTCGTTGTCCTTCGCGCGCAGAGTGTTTTAAAGCGACGCCCCAAGCGTTTTGTATGTCCATATACACAAACACTGATACAAATACATATAAAAGAGCGAACACGGTTTTACTATATATATATGTATAGTAATAATTGCACAAAATGACTAACGGGTTGACCAAAGCTCGCTGACCATCATAAACTCGCACGAGTACGACGTTTTCCGTTGTTAACAGGTTGCCAAATTGGCAATGTTAAGAGGTAGGTATAAATTAATAGTGTCAGGTCCTCTCTCTCTCGGGTGCAGTATAGGAATTATCTTAGAATTATCTTCAATCGACCTGTAATGAATATGAGAATTAACTTTTCGAAAAGAATTATTTTAAGAAATTTAGATTCTGTGAAGGACGTGAAGCTACTTCTTTTTTTTCCCTGAGAATCAATTTATATATATATATATAAAAAAAAGTATCATTTAAATTTTTGTTATTAAATTATTTACACATGGGAGAACTAAAAACTGACAATACACTCAGAGAAATGGTATATATTTGTCTCCGAGCCTACTAACTCATTTATTTGTTGCAAATATATTTCATTTTATTGAAATAAAAAATTTATTTGAGCCAAAGAAAAATTTATTTCTGACAAATAAAATTTTTATTTACGCCAAATAAATAAGTTAGTAGGGCTCTGAGACAAATATACGTTTATTTAATTCAAATATATTTTATTTGGTTCAAATAAATCATTTCTCTGGGTGTACACTGAAAAAAAAATTTATTTGATTCAAATACTCAATTACTTGACTATTATCAAATATAAATATTTATTTGTATCAAAGAATTATATTATTTGAGATGGTATTTGTTTCAAATACAGAAATTATTGGTTTAAGTAAAATTTAATTCAAATAAAAATTATTTGGTTCAAGTAAATATATTTATTTGATAATAGTCAAGTAATCGAGTATTTAAATAAAATAAATTTTTTTTCAGTAGTGTCACGTTTTTAACGTATTAAAATTTTTCCTCTATTGCAAAAAATTATATAAAATCACTCGAATAACGGAGATATATCGCATTTCTACACTCTTGCAAATGAAAACTTTTTTTAATTCGCACAGTATAATGCGGAAAAATTCGCAGTTAATATAGAAATATTCATTTTTAGAAATTTAAAAAATGTTACGAACAAGTTATATTATTTAACTGATGGATTTGTGTAATTTATATATGGGTGATTTTTAAGGGGATGTGAAAGTGGTGATACTTTTTACATGGCAGCTTTTATGTAAAAAGTATCACAACTTTGACATGCCCTTAAGTTTCCGGAAAAAAAAAAAATTTTTTTCATTTTTTTCTATTTTTAAACAAAAAAAAAGTGGAATTAGAAAAATTTTTTTAGAGGGTCCAGAACATAAAAATCACCCTGTATAATATTATAATATATTAAATAATTTTCCATATTTGGAGTAAATCCAAAAATTAAATAAAATAATTGAATCTATTAATTAAACAAATTGGAGCAAAAAATATTTTTCTTAAGGCCATGTAAAAGTAACGTGTACCTAGACAATTCATATATTTCTTCCTATGCTCCGGAAATAATAAAATAGCTAAATTCTTCGTATTAGATATAACAATTTGTTGAACAAATTCTATTATATTTTCAAATATAAAAAAATTTAATGTTATCTATAATGAAAAAAAGCAATTGTCTATTGTCACGTCCATCATCTTTGAAAATAAAAACTATTTAAAATTGAATAAAAAAATAGTTCGAAAAAAAATAAAAGTAATAATTATGTAACAAATGTACAATAACCTGAATTATTATTTAAGAAAATTTACGCAAAATATATATGACAAAAGATCTTAGATTAGTAATTTTATTAATGATCTAACAGATATATTTATATAAGCAAACATCATTATCAAAATCATTATTGGAAATGCTATAACAACAATTTGCATAACATATTTATATGTGTATATACAACATTGTAAATTTCTCGTAAAAGAAAACACGCGTATAAACGCATCGTATAAGTTACTTTTGTTTTAATTCTCATATATGAAAAATTTATTAAGAAAAAGCTTGACATACATTTTGATAATTTAAATGTCAAACGAACAATAATAAATATTTTGCTAGAAAATTAAACACAAAACTGTTTGTAATACTTTTTATATTAGTCTAATTTTTTTTTTTTTTGTAAGTTTATGCTTTATAGTTTTTCACTGTATTATACACGTTATAGAGAGAGGGGTTTTAATAATTTCTATTGACTTCAATATATTTAAGGTCGCATATAAAATGATGTTTTCGTGACATGAATAACTGCCATTAAAGAATCAAGTTTTGTCGCAGGAAATTGTACATATGTGACATAAATTACTCTAGATCGAACGAACATTCCGGTCATTATATATAGCTAGACAACTACAATATATGCTCTACCTTTAATAATAATTATACGTTTTATGTATATATATTCGAAACTCTGATAGAAACGCGGCTACTAAAATGTCAAAACTATTTGTATATTGGTGTTATAACTCTAATTCATCAACATATTTGTAATCAAAATAAATTATAAGTTTTTTGAAATATATACTTCGCTAGACGCAAATGATCTCAATAATTATTATTGTGTTTAATTTCGATTATTTTATTTATTAAATATATATAAAATCAAATTAATTTGAGTGAGATCTCATTTAAGATCGAAACTATTTAAGGACGTGGCATTAGACAATTTCTGTTTTTCGTTAAATTTCGTATTTAGTTTACTTTACCAATATTTTGAAATAATTTCAAAAAAAAAATTGATGGAATAAAAAAATGTGTCTTATATTTTAAAATTAGGGATCGTTCACAAAACTATGTCGCACTTCAAGGGGAGGATCAGAAATGGAATAAAAATAGTTTGTGAACGACCCCTTAGGTAAAAGACGTGAAATTAGACAATTTGTTAATTTTTAAATTATTTTCATTACATAAAATTTAATCTACTAGAAAAATTCAACGAATTTTGTCTAATTTCACTTTTTTTATTTTTTTTTGTATATAAAACTAAAATATATTAATAACTGTTCATATAAAGAAAATAATATTTTCAATAAATAAATAATTATAGTCTTACCTTATAAATTTTGTTTTATTTTCTCCGTTATTACCTTTATTATCCATATATTTAAATCCTTTTTCCTGCTTTGTTTCCTTTTTCCTTTTATTTTCCATTTATATCTTATATTCTTTTTTTCTATGCGGTTTTTTGTTGACATAGTTCTCCATTTTGACTATTAGTGGAAAATTTCCTCCTCGTGTGAAGTAAATCGCAGTATAGATCATCCAAATGTAAAATCTAAAAAAATCATCTAATTAATGATATGTAGAAAAATAAGCTATACAAATATTTCACACCCACTATGGATAATTGTTCATTATTTAATCCCATTTTTTTCGTAATTATATAAATTATTTTATATGTAATTTTTTAATTAGTAATTTTTCATTACTACGTATTTGAGAAATAATTATTATTTTCCCCCTGAAAATATTTTTTCACCTTTGTTGTGAGTAATTATTGACAAATAAACAATGATTGATAATTATATACGATTAAAATAAAATAGGGTTTCTTACACTTTTCCTGTATATAGTAATTAAATATATTCACCCCTTTTTATTTTCAAAATTATAACACATTAAAATATACTGACCCTTATATATAATAAATCGCAATTTTCCTATAGTCCTATTTCATCCAATATTATACATATAGTATAACACTTCTAAATTATCATATAAAATACTTGAAAAGTCAAAAAAAAAAATGCCCCCCTAAGATTTTAAATTCCCCCGTATAAATACAGAATATACACAAGAAAAAGTGATGCTATATCTAAAGTACAAAAAAAAAATTCGTATGAGAGAAAAATACAAGTCAGAAAAAGAAACGAAGATCTTGGAAACGTCACAAGCAGAGAGCGGGATAAAGTAAAGCAAGATCGAGTGAGATAGAGAAACATGCAGTAAAAAGGAGAGTGAGTGCAACAGACGTGACGTATATATAGAAGAAGGGTAGGAGTTACGGAGAGGGTGAAGGCAAAAAAAAAGGAGAAAAAAAAGAAAAAAAAATTTTTGCCCCTGGCGCGTAGAGCGGTGGTCATAATCGCGCAGACCGCGTCATAATCCGCGGCGAAAAACATTTGACGAGCGAGAAAGGAAAGGGAAAACGAACTGAGAAAAAGGCAACTCACTGGGAGCGGCTTTAAAAGGTAACGCCTCCTATTTGACTCACATCGTCCCCTTGGCACACACAGAGAAACTTCTTCTTGCGTCACATCGATAAGAGAAATAGTATATATAAGCATGTGTAAGAATGAAAAAGTGGGGGTGAAATAGGCGGGGGAGCAAGAGAGAAAGGGAAAAACTTAACCACACTGACTAAAGAGAGATGGAATTATTCTATAGAAGAGAGGGAGAGGAAGAATAGGGGCAGGAAAAAAGGGTCGAAATGAGAGAAGGGGAAAAAGTACTCAGCGCAACAACGACAGCAGCAAAAGAAGAAGAAGAAGAAGATCTTATATGAAACACCGTGTGCCGAGAATGTATATAATTCGCTTTTCTCGCTAAATAAGGTGAGGGGAATAGGAGGTCGTTTTTTTTTTTGTAATATACTTTGCGTCGTGACGATGTAAACGCGACAAGGCGATACTCTTATCGCTTTTCTCTCGTATAGGGCGAGTCCCCTCGTGAGAGAGAGAGGCGCACGAACTATGCGGATACAAACTAGGAATCGCCAATATATATCCAGAGAGTTATATATGTAATACACACAAGAGGCGATCCTCACCGATTGATAAGAAAGCCCGAAGGAGCTAAACTATACGAAAAAGCCAAAGTTGTTTTTTGAGATAAGATGTATCTCGAATGCGAACTGCGGCGCGTGTTTAGCATGAGAATCCAATTGAAGAAATCCAATAGAGGAGCGCTATATATATATATACAGTTGGCTAACTCAGCGAGGAAAATTATGAGAATTGAAATTGTGGGACTCGCGTTATAGAGAAGGATATAATACTAAATGCCAATAGAGAAAGAAAAAGAAAACGCAATCGTGTTTCTAATAGATAAGATTTTGATGTAAATATTCTAAATAAACTAAACATGAGTATTTTGACATCAAGAAATTTTTTTTAAATTTCTAACGGGATTTGTGAAAAATATCGTATATCAATATTCAAAGTAAAAGTGTCTTCTAAAAATTAATTTTCGCTAAAATGATCTCTATACGGATAGTGCCTTTCAGTCTATAAATCTCTTCGGATCATAAACATAAGAGTAGAAGGCTATTTTGATGCCCGCCAGTATAGTGGGTGGTTGCAGAACTTATAGAATCAAGAAAGAGAGAGAGAGAGACTTATTGTGGGAAAATTTTGTAAGGAGCAAAGAAGAAGTAAAATTATTTGTGAGGTAGAAGGCGCGCCTGCTGCAGGCTCCGACGGCTGAATTTAACACGCCGCGCAGAATTTGCTTCGTTCACCTACATTTAAAGTGCAAAGCCCACATGACTTAGACGAATAATCGCTGCGGAGCCAAAACTGTCATATTTTTCCCAATTCCTCAGTGCGCGCTCGACTTTCATGTGCATACCGGAAGCTCAACATGGACCATAAAAATCTATAACAAGAAGAAAAAAACAAATATATTTAAGACACGAATATTATATTTATATACAAAAAATAAAATATTTTCATATTTATCAATTTTACCCAAAATATATATTTATATAAAAAAAATAATGAATAAACTATAAGTATATAAAATAATGTGGGTCTATATATCATATAACGATATCATGTTGATATATATATATATACATTAAAGCAACAAGATCGATGAAGTATTATGATTCCTGTGTGACAATATTGTGGAGATAAATCATTGATTTCTATAGAGCCTATATGCCATTGACTGAAACCGATGCAAACCTAACAGTCTATACACGATTAAATTTAGAAAACTACATAACAATATCGAGCTCAAATATTACATATATACATAATAATTAAATAACAAAAGATCTAGACAAATTTTATTTCCCCTCTTTCAAATAATTAATTAATAAACAAATTATTTTATTTCAAATTTTAATTTCCCTCTTTTCAATATAATCCAGTAAAATTATTTGTTTCATATTTTAATAGAAATATTAATAACATCAAAATTTATTTTAATTATTATTGTACATAATTAGGGAAATATTTTATTTGTCTTTATACATTGAAAAAAAAATTTATTTGATTCAAATACTCGATTACTTGAGTATTATCAAATAAATATTTATTTGAACTAAATAAATTGTATATTTGAACCAATAATTTCTGTATTTGAAACAAATAACATTTAATTGACTCAAATAATAATTATTTGATACAAATAAATAATTATTTGATAATAGTCAAGTAATCGAGTATTTGAATCAAATAAATTTTTTTTTCAGTGTAGCTACTATATAAAAATATATTTGTCCCAGAGCCTAATAATTTTTTATTTATTTTTAATAAATAAATTTATTTAGCACAAATTCAATTTTTTTAGTGGAAAATAAATTTTTTATTTAAACCAAATAAAATTTATTTTGCTCTAAGATATAAATATATATATTTTTAAGAGGAAAAAGTTCGATTCGGAAAAATTCATGCCAATAATCAGTTGTAAATTTATTTGATTCAAATACCGGTGTATTTGGTTATTATCAAATAAATATTTACTTGAATCAAATATTTCTTATTTGAATCAAATAAATGGTATTTGCTTCAAATACTGAAATATTTGATTCAAATACTATATATTTGATTCAAGTAAATATTTATTTGATAATAACCAAATACACCGGTATTTGAATCAAATAAATTTTTTTTTCAGTGTATAATAAATAAAAAATACTCAAAAAATTACCAATTTTTCTCTTTCTCCTCGCGGAAGTTTTTTTTATTTCCAAATTTAAAAGTTTAACTAATATTTTCCCATCGCAAACATTGAAATACGTTTGTATTTTTTTTTACCTTTTTCGATCAAGAAAATTGTCACTTATAACTGTCCATCTATTGGCAATAGGTAAATATAGAAAATTAATCGAGACTAAAAAAAAAACTGTGACCTCAATATTGAATCTCGCAACAAATAAAGCCGCGAGATATATCAATATATATACATACATGTTTGTATCGTATTCGTATATATATACACACATTTCCACCTAATTCCATCTCCCAACAAGAACCCAAAACTGCAAGAGTAACGACAAACCAATTAGGGACTTTTAATGGGTATCGTTGGCTGTAACAATCGAACAAAACGGCATATTCCGCCCACTCTCCCGTTTGGATATATATATATAAATGTACATATACAGGAGGCAAACGTGCGGATTCACAAGCGAGAGATGCGTGGGTTGGGGTGGTGTGGTGATGATTCCAGCGGAGGCGGACGAGAGTGAAAAACAGCAAAAATTCCCAACGTCACTCTCTCTGTGTGTAGCGCCGGGGCGTGTAAATTTGCGCGAATCGATCTTTGTACTAAAAGAAGAGAGAGAGAGGGCAGAAGAAAGTCACGGAACAAACAAACAAAAAAGTTGATCCCGTCTCTTAGGCGCCACCCCGTATATCGGGTTCAAACTTTCAAATAGCGACCCCGTGTATACCGAATCTTTCACGAAATTATAGTAGTAAAAATTTCCCGATTCTCTCAATATATATATATGATTCAGCGGAAATTTCTCCATATAAATAAACCAATTCAATCTGTGCGACAAAACTATATTTATCCAAATTATTTATAAGACATACATGAATCTAAAATTTAGAATTTTAAAATTTTACCTCGACTTTTAGCCTAATTTTTATATATTCATTTAGACAAATGAAAATTCTGCAAAAATAAAAATTCGGAGTATTAAAAATCCTGTTTGAATAAATTCTGCTAGAAAAGAATATTCTTTTATATTCTGTAAGATAAAAATTCTTTTACATAATATTTCAAATACTTCAATTGTAAATCGGTTTTTTAATTTTGTATTACACTCAGAGAAATATGGTATATTTGTCTCCGAGCCTACTAACTCATTTATTTGTTGCAAATATATTTTATTTCATTGAAATAAAAAATTTATTTGAGCCAAAGAAAAATTTATTTCTGCCAAATAAAATTTTTATTTACGCCAAATAAATAAGTTAGTAGGCTCTGAGACAAATATACGTTTATTTAACTCAAATATATTTTATTTGGTTCAAATAAATCATTTTGTATTAGCCTATAGGCTAATACAAAATTAAAAAATCAATTTACAATTGTATCGAAATTGTTGAATGAAGAAAATAATTTATTAATAAACTGATTCGCGATTTATAATTTCTTATATAGTCAATTTTATTATTAAACGCTTTACGCGATAAATTCCCCTTCAGTTAGAAAAGAGTTTATATATATATATATCTATAGGTATAATATCTAGATAAACACAAAGTATTGAATAAATACTAAGCTTACAATATATAGTGGAAGCTCGTCGCAGTAATTGCGTAAAATCGAAACTGGAAATCGTGAATGAATGAAATATATATATACATCATTCATTTGAAGAGCTTTCTCTCTCTCTCTTTCTCTCTTTTGTAAATATAGCGCGCGCAGATAACACGCGAAGTTGGGGCTGAAATCAGCAAAGAAGATCATAAAATTCATAAACGTGTGCAAGGAAGAGATATACGTAATATATTTGTCTAACTTTCACGCAAAGGATGTATATACTTTAAATTCACTTTCATACGTTTTAAAAGACATTTTACTTTTACTCTGTTTAATATAAACACCTATTTTATTTCAGGAAAATTATTTCACAAATTGTTCTGGCCTTTTAATTTAATATTTCTTCAGGAAAAAAAGCGAAATTATTCAAATTTGAAAATTAATAAACTCGAATTTTCATATGTAACCAAATTCGTATTGCAGAATTTAAAAAACAGAATTTTGAATTTTTATCTGAATTTCTTTAATCGAATTTCTACTTATATCCATTGAATAACTTTTATTTGAATGAAATACGCCATATTACCCCCTGGTCTCCCCTAACCTCGTCGAATATAAAAAATCACGAACAAAAGACTCGATCAGAGGGATTGATTTCCTGTTATTTCGAGGATTTTTTTTTTTTTTTTTTTTTTTGTTCAAGAACGAGGTTACCTTATGGTTTTTCGAACAGATTTTTGTGGAATGAGTTTTGAAAATACGAATTATGTATTACATGACCCGCATATATTTTTAAAAATACGGTTCAAGTTTCTACTTGAATATTTGCGAACACAAAAACCGGAAACCTTTAAAATTTTTATTTTTACCAGTTTCAATTTTTCAAAATAAAATTATTAACGCTAAAAAACGTTCACAATTTTTTTTATAGGAAAACTGTGGAAAAAATTATTTGATTTAAATAATCAACTATTATCAAATATTTATTTGGTTTAAATAAAAATTTTATTTGCACCAAAATAATTTTTGAGCCAAAAATTTTGTTTCAAAAATATATAGAAATAGTGGTTTTATTTGAAACAAATAAAATTTGACTCGAAAATTATATTTGTTTCAAGAAAACATAACAAAACATAGTTTTCCTGTGGGAAAAATATTGAAAAAGAAATTTTTTTTCAAACATTCGTTTCCGGTTGAAGCAAAAATGATGTGTCCACGCGTCCGGAGCAGATTACGAGATTAAGAGACGCGTAACCCGATCCCTTATAATATGTCCTAGAATTCACGTCGATAGGGCAATAATTAGGCGGTTCCCATATAAAAGGCGGCGCGACAGAGGCTCACCGCGCCTCACGTCATATAGAAAGGAGAGTACGTGCTCCTTTTTTCATTCTTATTTTTTTTTTCAGACCTCATCGCGGCGGCGTCTAAGACGTAACTCAAGATAAAAAAAAAGAGAGAACCAGACGAACCCCACACACACCCCTCTCTTGAATTTACCTACCGATTGAATAGCCAAACTAGATATGGTGTTCCCACCGGCACTTTTGATATCTTTTGCTCGCCGCGCCATATATATATACGCACGACATAATATACTTACATGACATGAAGATCCTGAAATGAGTTCTTGAGAGCCTTTTTAGTTCCATATATATATTTATTCGAAAAAGCACCTCATCTGTATTGCAGAAAATTTTTTCTCCTTGGGTTGAAAAAGGATTTTTCTTCTCAAAATAATGTATAGCCATAGGTTTAATGTTGTTTCTGAAAAAAATCAAAAAGTTGTAAAATAAAATCAATTAATTAAATTATAATATTAATGTTTTATACTCATTAGAATTAAAAACAGTAGTGAAAAAAATATACTTTTGAATCAACAGTATTTCTGCGTCAAATAAAAATTATTTCAAAAGCATTTTATAAAGTAAAATACAAACTGAAAATTAATTTTTCAGAGAGAAATTAAATTATAAATTATAGAGATGAAAAAAATTATTTCAAATTATTTCAAAAGCATTTTTAAAATTTTGTAAAATACAAACTGAAAATTAATTTTCCAGAGAGAAATTAAATTTTAAATTGTAGATAAAAAAAATTATTTCAAAAGCATTTTTTAAATTTTGTAAAATACAAACTGAAAATTAATTTTCCAGAGAGAAATTAAATTTTAAATTGTAGATAAAAAAAACTATTTCAAAAGCATTTTTAAAATTTTGTAAAATACAAACTGAAAATTAATTTTCCACAGAGAAATTAAATTAAATTAGAAATGAAAAAAATTATTTCAAAAGCATTTTTTAAATTTTGTAAAATACAAACTGAAAATTAATTTTCCAGAGAGAAATTAAATTTTAAATTGTAGATAAAAAAATTATTTCAAATGATTTCAAAAGCATTTTTTAAATTTTGTAAAATACAAACTGAAAATTAATTTTCCACAGAGAAATTAAATTTTAAATTGTAGATAAAAAAATTATTTCAAATGATTTCAAAAGCATTTTTTAAATTTTGTAAAATACAAACTGAAAATTAATTTTCCAGAGAGAAATTAAATTTTAAAAATTGTAGATAAAAAAAATTATTTCAAATGATTTCAAAAGCATTTTTTAAATTTTGTAAAAATACAAACTGAAAATTAATTTTCCACAGAGAAATTAAATCAAATTAGAAATGAAAAAAAAATTGTCAGCGATAATTTTCGTAAGAGGGAAATAAGACGGCATTTTTCACATGGCCTTAAATTACAATAATTCTACTTTGTAAACTGAATATACACGCACTAATATATGTAAGTTTCTGGTACACACTCTACAATTCGAAGCCGCTGAACCAAACGTCTTCCTGTATATGTATATGTGAAGAGCACATCCCGTTTGTATATAATGGCAATGGCGGCGTTGGAATACCGGGGACTGACGGGACAAAACAGTACCGCCACAATGGGGGAACCGCAAAATTTTCTAGAGTATACATATATAAAGCAGAGACAAAGACGAAGCCTTCTGGCATCATAAGGAATCGGTGGTCTCTCGCGTGCCGATCCATTAATTAACCATCGCCATTTCTTAGATGCTCCAAGTCCCCCTCCCCCTACTTACACCTACAAATCCACATAAGGGGGAGTTATATATATATATGAAAAGAAATTAAGGTCGGACGCGAGCGGAACAACCTAACCATCCGTTCCCCGCTTTATTTCCGTGAAATCGACGACAGACGAATCATGAAAAAAAAAAGAATGGAAGTAGATAACCCGTCATAATATATGGCCTAATGGGACAGGAGCTAATAAAATCAAGATACCTCTTGACCCATACCTATTCTTTTTATAATTTGTGATCAAATATATATAATATCCGTTTATGAAAAACGCGAAAATTATGCTAATTTTTATCTTCTAAATCAAAGAGAACAAATATTATACAAGTATACTTACCATTGATTTAGTGGATTCTTGATGAAAATTAAAAATCCGAATAACAAGAGAGAAATTTATTATTATTTTCGAAACTGAAAAAAAAAAATTAAAAGATTTCGAGGGAGAAATTTATTTTCCCCTTATAGAAAAGGTCATTAGAAACAAGACATGATTATATATCTGGAGTGTGGACCGAGAGGCACGTGCGATAATTACATTACGAGTAATTAGATTAAGTATATAGTTAGCACGGAATACGCATCGAGACTATATTTATCGCAAAAATAAGAAAAAGAAAAATTTACAAAATGGCAATTATTATATAGAATTGACATAATGACGTTTTCAATTACAACCGATTGCATTCGATTAAATTTTGAATGAAAGGTAAATTGAGTCTGCTATATATATAAAACGAAATATAAGAAACTTGTTCAATAATATATATTACTTTTTTTTTACACAATTTCACCGCATACGAATCCTATATATATGTATATATATAGTTTCACGAGTTTCGTGACACATAGTGCACCGTTACGTGTACATTTTCTGTTTTTGCGACGCTTAAAGCCAATCTACAAGCCGCACACTTGTTTGCCGATCGATAAGCAAATAATCGTTGCTATATATATATGGAGATATTTTCTTACTGCGCGATATTCACGCAAATATGTAACTGAACCATTATTATCTCTTTAAATTATGAATTATTTGCATAATTATATTCAATCCAAATATAAAAAACAAATTTAACAAGGAAAATTAATTTCAATTGTAAAAATATATTTTTTGCAAATTTCAAAATGAATTTCTATCAAATGAAAATTACAAATTAATTTAATGCGTTTCGAAAAAGATAATTTTGAATTTGATAAGAGATTTTTTTCCGAATCGCAAAAAATCGATTTGCAGACTCACACATGAACAAATATTTTTTTGCCGAGTGTTATTAAGATATTAACAAGAAGGGTAAACGAGGCTCAATTTCCCGTTTATATATATATATAGAGAAGGGATGTGATTGGAGTGGGCATTTGAAATAAACGAAGATGTAACCCCCTGCGTTGTGTGGACTCGTTTGCCGAAACTATCAATTGATGCCAGATCCAAACAGTGGTGTACAATATATATATACGTGCAGCTGCACACCCCCCCAAAAACACTGAAATCCAAATAGAACTGAATATTCTCTACTCTGCCGCACTATCCACACGCATCTGTCAATGTGTAACGGAACACCACCTAATAGTATTAGAAATATATATCCCAAGAGCTATAAACTTGCTGATCCCCTATACACGCATGTAAACCTCCCATGTCATGATCTTTGCTGTCCAGCATCCTCCGTCGCTTCAATATATATATATATACAGATTTGAAATGCCCGCGGGGTCAACCACTATATTTATATATATATATCCTCTCAAATCACTTTCTTTATGAACTCACAAAATTCAAGAAGGAAAACCAATTTCTTAAGCTTTCGTATATAGGTGAATTCTCCTAGGTCCATTTCTGAAACTCAATTTCGATTTGTGAGATTAATTGAAAAACAAAGGATAATTTACATGCAAAAATAATTTTTCGCTTTTAATCTTATAAAATTGAAACTATGTACTATTATTAAATCAAATAAATTATTTGATTCAAGAAAAAATTTTCTAAAACTGTTAGAATTTTCATTTTATGAAATTTCATTTGTCATATAATTATTTTTGAGACGAATTTTTATTTATTCGAATTAGTATATTTTGCAGAATTTTCATTAAAACAATTTTCTACATTACAGAATTTTTATATAACTGAAAATTCACTTCAAAGAATTTTTATTTGTCAGAATTTTTATTTACTCGAAAAATCATTTAACAGAATTTCTAATTGATAGAATTTTCATTTGTCCAAAATTGCAAATGATCGAACACAAAATTTCTATCAAATAGAAATTCTGTTTAATGATTTTTCGGTTAAAATTTAATATTTAAAATTAATATTTTATAATATAATATAATATAATATTAATATTTAATATTAATATATTTAATATATAATTTATTTATAATTTAATATATAATTATATTAATATATTATTTAAAAAATTCTATATATAGAATATGAAAAATCGGTTTTATGGAAATTATATCAAATAATAATTCAAACAAATAAAAATTCATCGGAAATAAAATTCTATGCAATGAAATATCACTGTAAAAAATTTTTCGGACATTTTTCCGAAAAAATACGGACAGCACGGAACCCCAAGGGGTGGAAATATTTCCGAATAAGTAGTAAGAATTATCTCCGACATATTTCGGAAATTTTTCCTACTAATAAGTCGGATTTTTTTCCGAATTAGTCGGATATTTTTTCCTCATATATATTCGGTATTTTTTCCGAACTTACTTATTCTCTAAAATGCCTATATATTATCTGAAAATTCTAGTAAATAAAAATTCTGACAAATAAAAATTCTGTAAAGCGAATTTTTGGTTATACATAAAAATTCTGTAATATAGAAAATCGTTTTGATGAAAATTCTGCAAAATACTTTATTCGAACAAATAAAAATTCATCTCAAAAATAATTATATGACAAATGAAATTCCATAAAATAAAAATTCTAACTAATTATTTTTAGAACATAATTGCGTCCCGAAAAAATAATATTCAAATATAACACTGCGAGGAACCAAAGAAAATTTCCTTTGTATAATCAACCACAGGATATTTACCAAAAGTAATATTTAATTCACTATTCACCAAGATCCCTATACGCACATCTTTTGCTCCTATATATACACTCCTATATTTAATGAAGCTAATCAATCTCAAATTGCAGGAAAAATAATTCAAGTAACTCTGTTTGAATAAGCTTATGATAAATTATTAATCACTCTCATTTCCTACACAAGGTACACTCCTTTTTCTTTTTTTTTTTTTTTTTTTTACTAAATCTTGAGGAATATTTATAAAATGCGCGCTTATCGCGAATCGTATGTGTTCTAAATGGATTGGCCCTATTTCACATACAGAGGTCTGCAAATAGTCCTACCATATATTATATATATATAGTCGATGTACCTTCGATATTACGACGACACTCTCGAATATGTGACGGCTATCGATAATTCAATATCGCGCTGTTCCAAGCCAGTGCCCGCGAGGCTTTGTCACGCCATAATGACACAAGCATTCGTGAAAATTTAATATCGTTTCTCGAAATAAAAGCAAAGACGAAAAAAAACGAAAGAAAGAAAAGGAAATTTACTCCTAAATCAATATTAGCGAATTTGTTCCAACAATTTAATTTATAAAACTATTTTTCCTTTAAGAAAAAAAAGTTTAAA